CATGTGTGCCATAGATCTGTTAAGCACTGTGTGAGAGCTTGAACTGGAGCTGGGAAAAACCCAGAATGAATCAGATGAAGGGATGTCAGTGATCAGCTGCAGCATCCCTGCTCAGCTGTCAAATGCTCCTGGTGCAGGAATGGGATCTCAGCAGCTGAGCAAGGAGCCGAGGCTGGGAGGTGTAAGGAAAAACAGCATCTGCCACAGAATTGCTGCTTTTGTGGTTTCCATCCCTGCTGCTCACTTTTGGGCTTCAGATGAGGAACCTTTGGGGCTCCCCTGCATCTGTGGGAAGTGAGCAGACCCTGCTGCAGCTGGGCTTGTGTTTGGCAGCCTGAATGTCACATCCTCTGTGACATTGGGGAAGGGAGTCTGCAGGAGAAGCTGCTTCCACCTACATTTATCCTGGCTCCTTCCAGTTATCCATTCCTAGATAAATTCTCCCAAACCTGGTGCCAAAACTGTAAGGTGCTGGTCAGTTTTTGTAAGGCTGCCTGAATGACTCACCTAATTTCTCAGATTACTGATAAAACAGGGGGGAAATTAAAGAAAAAAATCATCCTAGTAGGATTGAAAGCTTTTGGCTAGCTGAACTGTCATTTTGTAGGCACAATTAGTTCTGGCTGAGGTGGGTCTGTGAAGCAAGAGGCTGAACTCATGCTGAGGTGTCTTGGGTTGGATTAGGGGGATTCAGGTTGATGAACAAAGTCCTGACTGTAGGAATGAATGAAAACCTGGCCTCACACTCCCCATTCCTGACTGCAGCAGTTCTTGCCTCTGGATGGAGGGCCCTAATATGTCAGTTTGCTGGAAAGCAAAAGAAAGGGCAAAAGGCTACTCTAGTCTTCCAGTGAGTGTCCAAAATTTAGAAAACTTAGTAGGGTAAGGAAAATGAATGGAGCTCCTTGATCAGAGTTTGTAGGTTGTTGGTATAATGAATTTTATATATTTCTATATACATTCTACAGATAGATACATATATATACACACACACTATATATATACACACACATTATATATTATATATATTATATATATCTTATATATTTTATGTATGATATATTTTATATATTTATATATTATATTTGGGACAGAGGTCTCCCAAAGCAGTAAATTCTGCAGTCAGAGTGCTTAGAAATCCTGTCAGAAAGTTGCCTAAGGGAATTGGGGATACAATAAGTAGTGAAGCAAAGACTATGGCTGAGAGACCTTAAAATCTACTTTGAGGGCGTGTTTGAAAGCAAGGTTGTTTTTGGAACCAAAGCTAAACTTTAGGAATCTAGAATTAAAGGAATAAAGGTAGAGTGCAGGGAGAGGTTGGAGAAATGTTCAGTCCTGTGGTCAGGCTGACTTTGTCAACACCTTGTTTTCAACACAACTAGTAGTAATTTGAGTCATTTATACAATTTGCTCTTGATATGTGCATACTTTGGAAGAGAAAAGTATGGTGGTTTCACTATTTGGTTAACTGCTATTAGCTAATAATTTTTTCCTATGTATGGCCTGATTCATTTTTTTTTCTGTATTAGTTACAAATCTTCCCTTAAAATTTAAGTACAAAACCCAATAGAAGTCATAGTAAGCATTGCATTGTGTCATCAGCTCTTACAGCACCAAAACCCCCAATTAAATAGAGACAGGAAAGAAAGGGAACAGCATAATAAATTGGATAGGTGCTTCTTGTTTCTATGACTGACCAGCAGGACCACAAGAAAATCTTTTAACCTTTCTTGCTGCAGTGACAAGACAATTTCAATACTTCTACTGAACTTCATTTGGCTCAGTAAATTCCTATAAAGTGCTTTGATCAGTTTGTTTAAATACAAGGCATGACTGAAGCAAGGCCTGCTTTTGATGCTGTGTTTTCTAGTGCTGAGATGAATGCTGATAGAAATAAAAAAAAAAAAAGAGGGATACAGGAGAAAGTGTTTTGCACATTCCCTATATGCTTTATCTTCCTTATTTTTCCCCAAGGAAGGAGAAGTGTAATGGCAGAAAGTAGAATATTTAGCCAGTTTTCTATAGAGGAGAAAAGCAAAATTGCTGACTGAAAAGTAGGACAATTGTACCAAAAGTAGGGCAGCTTACTGCACATTAAGTACCTTTGGATTATGTGCATTGTGCCACGCTTACTTTGCACACACAATTAGTTCAAAGTGGGACTCCCCACACGAGTTCACTGAGGAAGATTTATCTAGCAGATAAAGCTGCAGCAGCACGTCAGACAGGGTCACAACACACCCGTCAGGAAAATAATCTGGAGAGCAGCTATAACTGGCTGAGCTCATGTGGAAAAGGAAAATGTCACTGGTGCTTAGGCTTGGGATCAAATCAGATGGGAAAAATGGAGATCAGTGATGCTGGAGCAGGTCACAGAGATGAAAACTCTAAAATTTGTGCTTGGAATGCCTGCACAGCCTGCGAAGTTTTAGTGCCTTTAAGGATGAGATCATTTCAATGTTGGCAAAGAGTGCAAAAGTCAACACAATGGAGAATTTTTAAAACAGATTATTTTCATAAAGGGTTAATGGATAAATGACTTTTGGGTGTTCAGGTGGCACTTGGAGGGCAGTACTTCCAGGCACCCTTGTCCAGAGCAATGGACCTGCAGTGTATCACATGTGGGCTGATTTTTACATTCCATAAGGAAGGGTGTGGCAGCTGTGTCCTCTCAAAGTACATGGTCCAGGTAGAACATTCCTGGTTACACCTGGAAAGGAGCCCTGCTGCAGAGGAAAATCTAGAGCTTTGGGTTTGGCTTCTCACACTGCACATGGAGGGTTAGCAGGGCATCCTGAGGCTTCAAGCAGAGGCAGAAACCCAGCATGATCTGAAAACTGATTTCCTGACACAACTCCTCAAATGTTTTATCCTGTTCCTTTTGAAAGTTGGCTTTCACAGAAATATCTGTGATTTTATTCATCTGAAAACTGACAGTGCAAAACGTATGTGGGAGAGGGGAGGTGAGGGCGTATTAGGATGCAGGAACTTGGTATAACTGCAGTGCACCACTCCTTTCTTTCAAAATAAATGAGTATATTTGCAAGCAGGGCCTGCTTGGCCTGTCTGTCTGAACCAGTGACCTTCCAGTTTTGTTTGTGTACAGTCAAAATGATGCTTCTGTTGGCAAGGAGGAGGGGCCAGGGCTCCTTTACAGGGTTATCTACAGATGTAATTTTAAAAGTGAAATTTCCCTCTGTCTGTGTCAGAAACAAATGTCAGCATCCAAGGCACAGAAAGCATTTTTTCCCTTTTTTCACATAATGACTATCTGCATCCTTCTGCAAGTGAAAAATTATCACAATGCTATTTTGTTGTTTTTTTGGGTTTTTTTTTTTAATTAAGTTGTTCTAACCCTTACCCTGTTACTTTAAAGTTGATTTCTGTTCACAGTACCTCACTTGTGCAGCAAGTAGCTTCCACTTCTTGTGATTTTGCAAACATGAATGCATTCATTATGTCTTGATTAGGTGCTAGAAGGTCCAGCCACAACTATTTAGTAAGGCAGAATAAACAACTCCATTTCTGTATCTGTGCAACTTCATCAGTGCTAAGGAGTTTTACAAATGCATTGAAATCATCTCTGATTTGAGTCAAGGTTACATAAATTAAAGCCTATTTAAAAATAAGCAGTGTTTTTTCTGGCCAGCCCAAATCTCCCAACCCACAATGATACAGACTGTCATACATACAATATTTCTTCTGCTGAGCACGATATAAATTATTGCTGATCATGTTCCTCTCTGAGTGATTCTTGCCTGACTAAATTTACAGTGAGCAGAGATTCAGTTTTAAGGGAAGTTAATGGTGTGGGGAAATTAAAGAACCATGGACCACAGCTCTGGTGAAGATATGGGCTACAGTTATTAAACAAGTCAGGAAAGTAGGTAGGTTTCTGCAAGCTGAAGTGTCAGGTACGTGTAAATAAATAAATACATTAGACTGGACACCTCAGCCTTCAGATCAGACACCATCCTATAGTGACTTTGTCTGTTTTGACCTTTGTATGATGAGGATGTTCAGGGGAAGGAAGGTAGTTCATCATGCATGTGCTGAGTAAAGAGCTTCCAAGCATCATTTCAGCAACCCCAGTGTCTGATTAGACCCTTTTACCCAGGCAGTTAAGCCATTTTTTTCCCTGACTGATGACCATGGCTGGAGCTGTCTCCCCTAACTGGGGAGTTACTGAGGCACTGAAGGGGCACAATCATTTCTCTGTAACTCTGGGAATCTTTCTTTCAGCTGGTGCTCCCCTCTCTTTAATGAGTGTCCATTAACCATGTACTTCTCTTCTTCCATGTTTTTGGAATTAAAAGGATTCTTTTCTTCAGTTCATAGGAGAGGTTTGCATATTCCCATATCTGGAAGTGTCCAAGGCCAGGCTGGATGGAGTTCTGGGCAGTCTCTTCTGGTGGAAGGTGGCCCTGGCCATGGCAGGGGACTGGAACTCGATGAACCCTTTCAACCCAGACCATTCTATGATCATTATCTTATTGGTTATGGTTCTTATTGATCCTATTGTTTATGGTTGATTGTGGTTCTTATTTCTAAGAATAAAAACCACTGCCAAACATGAACATTTCAAACAGATGCAAGGATGCTTTGCTTTTTCTCAGCACAAGGCTCCTTGTACAGTGAGGAAAGCTCATTATACAGAATAAAAGTGGGATCTGTTGACAGGAACTGCAGTTTGAGTGCTATCAAACATACCTTTATTCCTTTTTCCTCCCAGTCTCTTTGCTTTCACATGACTGCTGTTCAGGATTTCACTTTCAAATAAATATTTGGCACTTGTATCCAAAAAGACAAACAAATACACAGAGAAAAATTTGCCTGAGTAAGCGAACACTCCTATTCAAAATTCTGTGGCTAGATGAACGGATAAGTGACAACAGTGATGAATAAATAGTGCCTGGGCCTGCCAAAACCCAGCATTAGAAAGTATAAACAAAGCAGCACAGAAAACAGATGGATTCATTTTAAGTTTTATCCTTTTTCAGTCAAGAGATGCTAATGAGGCCGCTTCACTTTGCACCGTGACCCTGGCACGGCGCGTGCCAGCACCAGCGAGGGGATGGACTGGAGCAGCTGCCCTCCCCAGGGCCAAGCCATTATCACCAAAACTACAGAAAACCCCAGATCTTCCTGCTGAAGAATGGCTGAAGAGACCCAGCACCGTCCCAGCCACGTCACTCCAGGTATTTGTGAGAATCTGCACTGGATTCATCGCAGAATCCAGTGGGGGTTTGCTTGCTGGGGCTGGGGGGGAGAGGAGGGGGTTGGTGCCGAGATGAGCTGAGTCTGGTGAGGTTTTACAGGCAGGGGAGCTGCTGCCTGCTTGCTCTGAGGGTGGCCAGAGCTCGGTGGGTATCGGAGGCAGGTGCAGGCAATAGACACCAGTGCCATATGGCAACTGCTTCCTGAGGAAATCAGCCTTTTGTCTGATCCTCCTGGAGCCCACGGAGCAAAGGCTGCTGTGAAAAAAACCCCATAACTTTCAGGGGTTTCAGTTTCAAATTGGTTAAAACAAATTTTGAGTATAACGAAGTTATGCTTGAAATAAAACTCTGAATTTGAAAATTATGTCTGTTTGGCAAGCTCTGGTGCAAATACCCAAAATATAATATGTCTGGACAAAAAGCCAAGAAAAAGCATGTCTTTGTCTGCACATGTGGACTTGGATACTGTTTCTAGAAGGAAATTATAAGAGAAATAACATCTCCCAATGACAATTGCCTATTCTTAAAGTTCTCAGGGGAAATTTCTAGCAGTGGGTCTCAATTTTCCTGTGGTTTCATCCCCCCCAGAGCCTGCTGCTCTTCTGCAGATTCTCCTCCCTGTGCTGCACCTCCCTGTCTCTATCTCCTTCTTCCTTGTGCCTTTGATGCTGTTTCCTTTTAGGAGAGTTGCTCCCCTGTTTTGCCCCTCAGTTTTCTCCTTGCATCATTGGCAGCTCAAACATATTTATTTCTATTAACAAAAAAAACCATTATAACTCCTCAAACACATTTATTTCTATTTAAAAACTCATTATATAGCAGTGATGTATCCAACCGGTGCTGCTAACAGATTAAATGACTTTTTCTAGAACTACCCAAAGTCACTTTTCACACATATTTTCCTTCCAGCCACTGTGAAAACTCCTTCTGGTCTTTGGTCCTGTTCTGGGAAGCTCACATGTGACCCAGGTGTAATTGTGGCCTTCACAGCCAGCACTGGTGGGATTGTTGGGACACCTGCGAGCTGGAATGTGTCTCACAGGTTGGAAAACGTGCTTTATAGCTACATAAAAGGTAAAGAGAATACAGAGCTGTAAGATTATTTTAAAGAGAAGCCAGGAAAAACTATGGCTGTGACTGCTCAGCAAGCAGGGAATTTAATTCATAAAACAAATGTGTTTGAAAACAAAAAACCACGATGCTCCCTGCTTTCTCATTGATTTTTCATGTCATATAACTCACCTTTGGTGCACTCAGTTATCCAGAAAGGGTTTTCGTACAGTAAGCTATTCATGTGTACACACATATAGATATTTGAGGTATAATTTCCCTGCAGTAACTTTGTATTCCTGCATGAAGCTAAATGAAGAATTGACCCCAATTCTTTGACTGCACAAGAGCAGGAGGCCTAATGGCTCTCCTGTGCTTAGATATATTTGCTGAAAGGAGTTTAATAACATAATAATGTTGCTGCCTTCCGCTGTCATTTCTTAGGTTTTCTATCATCTGGTTGATTGGAACGCATTCCCAAAAGAGTTCTGGTATTCTAGTCCATTTCCTAATCCAATAGTTTCATTACTTATGTAATTTTCCTCGTCCTGTGGGGGAAGGACATGCATATTATTGTTCATTCCATGCAGATTTGGAAATCAAAATCATATCATAGTCCCATTTCCCATCCTCCCTCTACTTAATTCCCTTTTATCTGGTCACTTGGATGCCATCATGCTGGTACTTTCTTACCAAGGAAGTTGTGTTATCAAATAAATCAAATTTTTTTGACAAACAGTGGAGGCTTTAGGAGATTGCACCACGTTCACCACCCCAGCTGCTGAGTTTCCCTGATTGCTGTCGTAGTTTTGTTGCACTAATCAGCCACAAGATTATAACAGTCATGTAAGGCAAGCAATTACTAGGTTTCCTGGGATAGTCCAACCACAGGGACTATTCCTAATTTAAAGGAGCTGTAACTGCCAGTGTACATGTATGTATTTCTCTTAAACATTTCTAACTATAGTTATGAAGTGAAATAATAAATTGTATTCCCTCTTGTTCTCCTGCCTAAGCCTGGAATTACTGACATCTGTGTATCATTTCAGTGGTAAATTACAGCTGGGACATGCTAACCCCAAAGTGTGAGTAAGAGCTGCTCCTAAATGATTGGAAACTTCTTGGCAATTTATCGTTGAGTTACAATAATTAGCTTAGTCTTCATTCCCTTCTGATAGCTGAGTAAAATTTGGGCTATTTTCTCAGCACCAAAGTTGATTCTTTAATCAGTGAGAAGAATGTTGTTTTTTTTTTCTGGCGAAGATTAGATCTCAACTAAAGCCTCATTTTTTGTTAATTGTCTCTCTCTTAATTGACAACTTCCTCTCCTTCTCCCCTTCCCCCATATAAGCAGAGGAGTGATGGAAACCTGGAATTAATATTTCCATGGAGATGATGTAATTTCCTGAGTTGCTCCAAAATAATCTGAATTTCAAAACTCTTTTACCTACTAATTTGAGGAAAAGTATAATAAATAATACAAATATATTAATGGCTAAAACATATTATCTCATTTTAGATAGCTGTGCCCAGTTCTGTAATAATATATTTGTGCTTGCCTGACAAGAGGCACAAAGCACAAAAAATATAATGATGAAACTCAAAATTTGTGCTGTTTTATTTTGTGGAAGCCTTGCAGTACCTGCTGCCCCATTTCCAATGAGGAAAATGGTTTACTCTTACTGAAATTGTGGCTGGAATGAGTTTCCATCCATAATCTCTCAATACAAATAAATATACACACATTTCTCTATGTCTGTGTTTATACATACATCTATCTATCCATCTAGAGGTATGTAAATATTTTTATTTTAATGACTCAAGCATGCAGTTCAATCAGCCTGCCCATGCACTGAAGTGCTGTATTTGCAAGGCAGGGAACTAAATATTGAGAGAATATGTTCAAAATTGAATGGCCTATGTAAGGTTTCTTTTAAGCTAGACTGGATGTGAAAAAATATCTGTTTCATATAAAATATTAAGAGGCAAAAGGGCAACAGTGGCCATGTAACTGAGCTGCTTGTTTTATTTCAAATACCCTGGAGCAATATCTTCTTCCCCTACTTCTACCCATCCTTTCATTCTCAAAACTGATTCTAAAGATAGGTAGTGTCAGTGTTTAAAGTGTTGTACAGTTATTTTTATATAAATGTTGTGTAAAAGATCATTTTTATTATTACATTAACATTAATTTCTATGTGTATATTTTTGTCAGTTATCAAATGTGAAAAAATTACTGTTATGATCTTCTACTAAAGTGGGAATATATTTCAATTGTTCATGATCAGTGAATGATAACAGCTGATACCATAAGTAAACTGATCATATATTATTCACTTCTGTGCCATACATTTTCAGAATCATAACTCTTATCTTAATTTGAGGGGAAAAAATTAGACACTGGATGAAAATTCCTTCACTTTTATTAATAAATTAAGATTTATAAGTAGACTGATTAAAAAATCTGTTGGGCATGTATGCTCCAAATATTGTGCTTAGAAACCTTTTCTTCATGGAAAGTGCAGGACAAACAGGTGGGTTTGATCAGCTACAATTATCTAGAGAGAGTATTTTACTTTATATCTTCAGATGATTTATCTTAGAATATTCCTTTGCAGTGACAGTCCAAGAGCAGAAATGTGTATGCAGGTAGTAACTGTACCTGTGACCACAAATGTAGGATGCAGCAAAATCTCATTTTCCCTTTGTGCTACTGCAGTCTGGCATAATCAGGAAACTCAGAAATATTTCATGGTACTCTGTGATGTAAGAACTATTTTTGTATCCTGAATGGATTTTAATGGCTTTGGAAGAAAAGTGCTCCTTGTCTATCTCCTGTGTACACAAAAATTCTGAATGTTACCAGACTGAGATAGGAATCCTGAATATTTAATGAGGATGTGCTACTGACAACCCAAAAAAAAGCAAAAGAGGCTGCACAGGACTATTTTACCATCTTTCGCCTGTTCAGTATTTCAATCTTGCTCTCTAAACTTTTTTAAATAGCCTTTCTTATTTTAAAGGGGGCTGAACGTGACTCTGGTGATGTTGGCATTGAACTCATAGTTGGGTCTTTCATGGGATTTTTTATTGTTTTGTTTTGGGGCTTTTGTTTTGTTTTGTTTTTTGTTGGGTTGGGGTTTTTTGGGGTTTTTTGGTTGGTTTTTTTGGTTGGTTGGTTTTTTGGGGGTTTTTTTGTTTGTTTTTTTTGGTGGGGTTTTTTTGTGTTTTTTTTTTTTTTTAATCTTGAAAGGCAAGTTTCACTCTGACAGTAAATTCCACTCTGGTGGTGAAATGAGGGTGAGTTCTTCCACCATTTAAGACAGTTTGTTGGGATTTTTCAGTTTGCTTGGTGGTTGTTGTTTTGGTTTGTGTTTATTGGGGTTTTATGGTTGTTTTTGGCGGGAAGGGGGTCTGGATGTTTAGGCTTTGTTGTTTTTTTCTTTTTCTTTTGTAATGATACTTCCATATTTTCTGAAAGTACTGCTGCTTTGCAGCCTGGATCTCTATCTGTTCATTTTTATTTTCACGTTTTCCTTTTTTGCATTTTTAATAAAATAAAGATCCCAGATAATATCAAAGCAGGTCTCCAGGTCTCCAGGAATATCTTCATTTCAGTCTCAGATGTGGTGATATCTAAGCACTGGCTGGGAACCTCTGTTCTCATCAGTATACACCAGCAGGTGAATTATTTTTTTTCTTTTGGGGGAAATGTGATTGTTTACCTTCCTTTTTTCACTTCCTGGGTCTTCAACTGAAGTTGATGAAGCACTGTAAATCCCACTTTTTGTTTTAAAGCACTAAGCCAGACAAATAATATTAACAAAATGAAGCAAGCCTGTTCCAAAGAAATGAAGGGGGAAAAGAAAAAGACATTTGAGAAGTTTGAGAAGTTTTGCACTTTCTCTCCTGATCCTGACATCAGCAACAGACGTCCTGTTAGAGCACCATAAAGCATTCTCTAAGCTAGAAGTCATTATCTTTTTTAATTAAAAAGCTTTGACCCCATTGACCTACAGCAATAATCTTCCATTCTATTACCTTTATATTTCCAAAGTTTGTATTCTGAAAAACAGAGTGAAGCATAAATTGTATGCGAACAAAGAAAGCCTGACCAAAAAGCAGCCTTTGAATGTTTTTTGTTAATGTTTTTTGATGTTTAAGATGACAAAAAAGTGCTCTTCATAAAGGAAGGCAGCAGTATCTGTCTCAGGAAGGGTAATGAGATTTAGATGGCATCCTGGACATTTGTATATCATCTTGGCTGAATCTCCTAAAAAGTGAATACTGAGGGGGTTGTTCCTGCCCCTAGAGCCCCTCCGGAGAGCAGTATTACTTTCAGCCTTGATTTCAGAAACTGTACTGCAAGAGCAGCCTGCCATAACTCCTGTGGCTGTGCCTGATACCCCTTCCCAGCTAAAATAACACGGGCCAGGTCAGCTTCAGGTGGGGAGGGAGAGGGGAACAGTGATTTGACATGCAAATTGCAGCCTAGCTTTAATTAACCAAGTTCAGCACTGCAGGATTTAAAGAGGGGCCTTAATTTTTATCTTTTCTATTTTTCAGATTCTGTGAATTCTGAGATTCACATGAGGGGATGGTGAGCTCTGTGCACAGAGCAGGGAGACAAAACAATTCCTGCTCCAGCTGGGCACCAAGGACAAATGATCCCAATCTCAGCCCAGGAGCACAAACCCCGTGGGCTGCAGAGAGAAAAACAAGCAGGGTGGGACTGCAGGGGCTGCAGCTGGGGTTGGACACTGAACTGCAATGTGCACATGGAGCAGAGCTGAGCCCAGGGAGAGACCCCGGCAGCGCTCGTGCATTTTGGGGCCATTTGGGTTCATCCTGGGTGCAGCCCTGGCTGGGCTCTGGTGCTGCCCAAGGTGCATCCATGGAGGAGATCCTTTGAATCAATCCCTGCTTTATTCTTTAGCTCTGCCTAATCTCTGTTCCAGGTCCTTCCCAAGGCATCCAAAGTGCCTGAGCTGGTCCCTGCATTGCTGCCTGGAGGAACGTTGTCTGCTCTTCCCCCAGCTGGCTGGAGGATTGACTGGAGATCAATCCCTGAGGATCCAGGTATCCTTGGAGACCCTCTGGGACATGCCAGCAGTGACAGCACGCTGTCCTTCCATGCCATGGGATGTTCCGAGCTGCAGGAGCAGCCCCCTGGTGCCCAGCCCTGTCTGTGTGACAGCAGCCGTGCACAGGGACATGCCGTGTCTGTGTTTGGTGAATGTTCCAAATCTGGGTCCAACAATATTTGCTCGGGCACGGAGAAAGTCTGGGAATTTGATCTTGGCATGTGCCTGGAGCCAAAAATACAATGCAGCAAGTGGGCATGGCTGAAATTCAGCCCTGTTATCCCAAATGTCACTGTGAAGGTTCTCAGGGACTTTCAGGCTCCCAGTGGACTCAGTTGTGCCAGTGGTGTCTGAATGTAATGAGCTGGACCTGTCAGATGCAAGTCCCAGCCAGCACATTAATTCACTAGCTTTACAGATGTGACTCTCTAAAAGATCTTTGTAATAGAGATTTTTGTGATTTAGACTTTGAATTACCACCTTCTGCAGTACCTGTCTCGCAGTTTGTGTGCCATTAAACATACTTGTGAGCATGCTTAGGAATGTAATTAAATTGCTATTTAATTAAATAAATTAATTGTTACTGGAGGGATACTTTATTGTCACTCAGGAAAACCTATTCGGAGGTAGGAAACAGTCTCTGATTTCTCAGTGCTTTAGCAAAAGTCCCCTCAGTTTTTCTGTAAGATAAGGTAACAAAGGCATCCAGAGTGAGGGTGTAAACTGACATTTTGTTTGTTCAAGGAACAAACTGCACCTAGGCTGGCCCTCAATCCACAGTTATCTCTTCAAAGTTTTCCTTTGTATGATAGCAGATGCCAAATTCAGCTTTTTAAACCATACCTAGAGTGAACAGCTAATAGCTTCCTGATTCACCCCTGCTGCATGCTTCAAGCTTTGCCGGCAACTTCATTTTTGAGACTGAAATTCCTATTTTTATT